GGGTGCTGGGGGCTCTAAGCCCAACCCCGTCCGCGGGGCAGGAACCAGCCCCGAGCCCCCACCCCAGCGCCCGGCCCAACGCCACCAGGTAACGGCACCCCCGAGACCGGACGGAACCCCCCGGGATAGGACACGGCACCCCCGGGACGGGACCTCCCCCAGAACGTGGCACCCCGGGACGGGACCGACACCCCCGCAGACAGGGCTTGGCCCGAGGCGGGACATTCCCAACACAGGACACCCTCGTCCAGAACCCCCGCGCGGTCCCAGACACCCGCCTGGGCACCGGGACTTTTTTGTTCCTCGGTCCAGAACCCCAACTGCGAGCTAGGAGCCCTTCTCAGACCCGGGATTGCCCCAAGAGCCCCCGGGACCAGGATCGCGCACAGCCCGGGACCCCTCTCTGGGGATCGGGGAACCCCCCGAGCTCGGATTTTCCCCCGTCTTGGGTTCCCCGTGACCCGCCGTGTTCCCCCAGGCCGGTGTTCCCGGTATTCCCGTGCGGGGGGGACCATCGCGGGGAGTCGGGGTTCATCGCCAGCGAGGGCTTCCCCCGGCATTACCCCCCCGGCAGCAACTGCACCTGGACCATCACGGTACGAACCCCGGGGGCACCCCGAAACGCAGGGACACCCCACCTGTCTGCCAACCCCACCCCGCTCACCCCGACCCACCCGTGTACATCCCAACCCCGCCTGGCACACGCCAAAACCCTGAGGTTTCCCCTCGGCTGTCCCAGTTCCTCCTCTCCTTGTGTCCCCAGGCGTTCCCGCATCCCGCGAGGGGCTGAGGGACAGGTGGTGGCACCGCTGTGTCTCCCGTGTGTCCCCCCCTTATGTGACTCCGTGCCGCCCCCAGGAAACCCAAGCGGGGTAATATGCCAATGTCCCCAGGGTTCCTGATGTCCCCTGGTGTCCAGCCTGGCCCTTCAATGTCCCTAGATCCATGAAGATCAGGTGGTGACACCCCAAAGTGTCATCTGGGGACCAGGTGGTGTCAGCCCAAAGTCCCCAAAATCCCCACCTGCCCAAGCTGCCCAAAGGCTGGGTGGTGACCCCCCAATGTCCCCTAGGTCCCCGAGGGCCAGGTGGCCACCCTCTCCTTCCGCATCTTTGACCTGGAGCCGGACCCTCTGTGCCGCTTTGACGCCCTCTCGGTGTTCGGGGGCCACGGCCCTGGGGCGCCGCTTTTGGGGCGCTTCTGTGGCACCTTCCGCCCGGGGGCACTTCGGGCACCCCAAAACCGGCTCCGGCTGCACATGGAGAGCGACGGCGGCACGGCTGGGAGGGGCTTCCTGGCCTGGTTCAGCGCCGGCAGCCCCCCGACCAACGGTGGGTGAGAGAGGGCCTGGCGGGGAGACCCCCCAAAAAAAAAACCAAGGGGGAGGGAGCACCGCCGGCGAGGAGTAGGGACAATCCCACAGGGACACCCCCAAACCCACCCAAAGAGATCCCTGGAAATGTGGACGACTCCAAAACCTTATAGCAACAACCCCAAAGTCTTGTAGAAACCCCAAAATCCCCCAAATCCCCAAGGAGACCCCAAAAACCGTGTGGGCTGAGAGGCCAAAACCCCTTCCAGGAGGTCCTGGGGGTCCTGGAATGAGATGGAAAAAGAGAGAAAAGCTGCTGAGGGCAGAGCAACTGTGAAGTTAGAAAAAGTGTGGAAGAAAACAGTGGGAAATGAGGAGAAAGTGTGACTGGAAAAGGAGGTAAACGTGTGAAACTGAAAACAGAAGGGGAAAAACCCTGATGGAAAAATGGGGGGGAAATGTAAGAGGGAAAAAAAAAAAGAGGGAAATTAATGAAAAGTGTGAGGAAAAAATGGAAAAGGGTGGAGAGAAAATGAGAGGAAAGTGTAAGGAGAAAACAAGGAAACAAGGCAAAAGTGCAAGGGAAGAAAGGAGGGGAAAGCTGAGGAGAAAAAGAGGGGAAAGTGTGACGGGATATGGAGAAAAATAAGAGGAAAAGAAAAAACTAGCATGGAAAACTGAAAAGAAAAAATAATTCAAAACAAAAAATAACAAAAAAAAAACCAAAACCAAAACAAAACAAAAAGCAAAACAACAGAGGGAAGAATGAAAAGAAAGGAAAAGTTTGAGGGAAAAGCCAGACGGAAAAATGGAGCAAAGTGTCAGAAAAAAATGAAGGAAACTGGCACAAAATGGAGGCAAAAGCTGAAGGGAAAAGGGGGACAGGGAGCAGAGCTGATGGAGAGCAGGAGATCCCCAACACCCCTGTGGACACCCCCCAAATCCACATGGAGAACCCCCAAAGCCACATGGAACATCCCAACCCCCCAGTCCATCAAGGAACCCCCCCCAAAATCCCTTGGAAACCCCCATGGAGGCCCCTGAAAGCACCCGAACCCA